GCTACGCATCACCACCCACCGCCAACTCTTGGGCTACTCTTTTACCAACGAATGATTGACCGTCACATTATAACTCCCCCACGGCTGAAAGGACGATCATGTTTGGTGGGACGGGGATTCGAACCCACAACCCTCGGATTAGTCTGGTTAAATATTTCGAACTTTACACCTTATATTTTTTTTATTTGTATATCACTTATAGGACATGGCCGGGTGTGCCTTAGTGGTTAACATGCCCGATCTATGAATCTGAAGTTCTTTGTTCGCGACTCGTTGCTGCTAAAATGCGCTCAGCGCTTGAGGGTGGTGAATGTGCTTCTAGAGTGACCGTCATATCTCATTATTTGATCTGAAAATATTAGAACAAGAAGCTGCGACGGGCGATGTTGATTTGCTGCCTTTCTTCCAATCTCTTAGTTTAAAATTAGATATGGCTATGCAAAGATAGTTCTTATGTAGCTTTGCGCGCAAATTCTGAATCAAAGAAAACAAATTTATAGGACTAACATTTTATAGTGAACCTTGTCGAAAAGAAACGATATAAAACTCACCTGCAAAATAACATCGTAGGAAATGTTCTACAGTTAGCACACTCGATTCACAATCTGCGGGTCCGAGATCAAAACTCCTTCAGCCGTGGGGACGTGATAATGTAAAGTTCAGTCCCACTAAAAGTTTTAGGTAAATGATGTTGACTAGCTGTCTTCTCTATACTTTAACACTTCAAAATTAGGGATGGTTATCAAAGTTAAGCCTCTAGTAGTTTTGTGTGAAATTCAATAAAAAGCAACATCATCATAGAAACGATTCTACAGGAAGTAACGTCTGAAGGAACGTAACAACATTAATAAGGTGTTTTCTGTATTAAAATCTTCGTTGTGTTACATCATCTGAATGAATGTGCAATTCATAATTGTTTTAAATGATCTTGTTTTACTGGTGTGTATTAGGGATCCGGCATGGCCAGGTGGTTAGGGTGCTTGACTCGCAATCTAACGGTTGCGGGCTCGAATCCTCGTCCAATCAAACATGCTCGCCCTTTCAGCCGTGGGGACGTTATAATGTGACGGTCAATCCTACTATTCGTTGGTAAAAGTGTAGCCCAAGAGTTGGCGGTGGGTGATGATGACTAGATGCCTTCCCTCTAGTCTTTCACTGCTAAATGATGGAGGGCTAGCGCAGGTAGCTCTCGTGTAGCTTTGCGCGAAATTCAAAACAAATATAAAAACAAACCCACCGAGAAATCGAACCCCGAATTTTAGTGTTGTAAGTTCGTACCTTCATTGATTCATTTGAATGCTTTATTCAGCAGAAATAAAGCTTCAAATCCAGTGATCTGTATCATAAATTAAATTTGCTTAAGTCACTAATACATGGCAGTGTAAAATTACAGAAGCAAGTACGGGACAGTTGTGTTGTTTAGTAGGTTATTTCCTATGAAACAACTTACAATGCTAAAATCCGGGGTTCGATTCTCCGCGTTGGACACAGCAGATAGCCTGTCAAACAATGAAACAACTAATTTCTTTAGAATATTTTTGAGCATTTTGGAATTTCACCTCTTATGCTGTTCCAATTTCAAATGTTTTATAAATTAACTTAAAGATGCTGTTTGTTGGTGTACCTATCCACTTATCTTTTCCATTAATTTTGATTACTTGGCTGTCTATATATTTATTTATTTATGTAGTTTATCTGCATTTTATGGATGCCAGGATGGCTGGCTACAGCAACATTAAACGTGATC